CGCCGACTGCCCCTAAACGGAAAACCTCTCAAAAAAAAAAAAAAAAAAAAAAAAAAATTGCATTTCTGAGGCCAGCCCCATAACCTATTAAGGAAGCCAACTGCAGTTCAAGCACCAGCCACAGTAGCTTGAAAAACATGCTAGGTGCATGTACATGTGTGCCCTTCGCCCTGATAGGATGGAGAAATGAAGAAGGGACTGTTCATGGTGTGACCATGCCACATGGAGGGGAGTGGCTTTTTTTCTCTCTGTCTCTCTGACCCTCTGGTGAGTACACATGCCCTCTGACAATAAAAAAAAAAATTAATAATTTGAATTTCTAGAAGTTTCAAGTGATGCTAATGCTGTTGGTACCTTTAGGGACCAGTGCACCTGCTTCTACCACAAATACATCACACCCTGTAAAGAACAATTCATTCATTCACTCCTTTATTGCAGGTCTTCTGTTCACCAGGCCCTTGGCTAAAGCTCTCACTGTCATTATAATCTTGGCTTTATTTTATATTCAATCACTGTGTATCATTACAGTATACCAAATGAATTTTCCCATTCTGAATACACTGCATACTGGTTCAAAGATATTACCATACATATTATCATCAACAGATAATTTTCCATTTTCATGTCCCTTAAATGGTTTATTTCTTAGACAAATCAGCCAATATTCTCTAACCGCCTGTGTGGAATACAGCCCTTTCTGTAAAGGAGTCCCCCAGAGAAAGTCTTATTTCTGTAAATGCACTGTCCTGTGGTTGCTTAGTTGTTGCTTATTGCTTTGGGAGAAAGAAGAGAGCTTTCTCCATATTCCTGACAAGCCTCCTGCCATCACCTCTCTCTCAGCTGCAGGTGACCAGGTGCCTGACTTGAGGGGAGGAAGGAGGAGTTGGGGGCTCTAGCCTCAGCTTCAGAGCCAGACAGAAGAGGTGCCAGATCAATTCAGAGTTTACAATGATTTGCATATTTCTCATAAGGCGCCCATTTATTAGAGAATGTTCTCACGTCAGCCAAATGTATTGGCCGAGTCTGTGAACCCTGTAATCTCCAAATCAGCCTGTGAATGTTTAGCTCCGTCACTGGAGTCTGGAAGCATTTATACATCCAGCAGGTACGTGAGCCTTGGAAGTAGGAGACATCCTGGCTCCTCTGGAACCTGTTAGGGGGACTCCTAGTGGTCAGACTAGAAGAGAATGATAGCCAGGCATGTTCCTCACCTCTGACCCCGGCCAGCAGGCTGGGAGGACAGGCCACCACACCAAGGCACCATCTGAATATATGGCGCTATGCAATGGACAGAACGCATATGCCACTGTGGTCCCAGACCGGAACTCTCCATGAAAGACTCTCTACATGGATTCACTGTCATCACCAGCGCGGAGGCAGAAGCAGAGTGGTTTCATTTGCCTGAGGTCACAGAGCTGATGAGTGGCTGAGTAAGAATTTGAACACTGGCAATGTAGCTTCACACCATTAGCCTAGACTGCCTTCTGACCATCTACTGGATCTGAGCAGCTTGACCAGAGAATGGCCATTGGTCTACACCTTCTGAATTCATCTCGTCCCTACGTCCCAAGAATCCTGACAATAGCCAGTAGCAGGCTGGCAGGTGGCATGGAGGTTAAGGTAGCTGGATCCCAAATGGGGGACTATGCAGTTCAACTCTCAGACCTGCTGGCTTGAAAATCCTGCTGGATACATGCGTGTGCATGCCCAAAACTCCAGGGAGAATGGAGGAGAAGGGATTGTGGTGCGCCCATCCCCCTGAGGGGTGCTTTCTCACTTGTTTTCTTTCTCTCCTTCTCCCTGGTAGGGGCGAGGTTAAGGTAGCTGGATCCCAAATGGGGGACTATGCAGTTCAACTCTCAGACCTGCTGGCTTGAAAATCCTGCTGGATACATGCGTGTGCATGCCCAAAACTCCAGGGAGAATGGAGGAGAAGGGATTGTGGTGCGCCCATCCCCCTGAGGGGTGCTTTCTCACTTGTTTTCTTTCTCTCCTTCTCCCTGGTAGGGGCATGTGCCCTATGGAGGAGAAGGGATTGTGGTGCACCCATCCCCCTGAGGGGTGCTTTCTCACTTGCTTTCTTTCTCTCCCTCTCCCTGGTAGGGGTATGTGCCCTATAGCAAACTGAAGGAAAAAAAAAAAAAAGAAAGAAAGAAAAAGAACTAATAGCTACTAAGTCTTTCCTCTGTCTTGGCACTGCTAAGGACCGGACACACACAATATTTCATTTAATCTTGCAATTTAGGCAGGAGATACTCTTATCATTCCCATTTCACAGATGAAAGGAAAAGGCACCGAGTGACTGACTCAGGACCCTTGCTCTTAATCTCGTGGCTTTGCTGACTGGAAGCAAAAGAGAGGCCAAAACGACCAAGCAGGTCTGTCCACACCCTCACATCAAATGAGAACAGGAACCAACTGATCAGCCTCATAGCCAGAGCTCAGCCAGCATGAGGTTCAGCTTTTGGGGGGCGGGGGGAGAGCTATGACATATCCCTGTCTGCTCCCCCAGATAACTCTCTCTCCTAGACGTCAAGACATCTCTTGCCTCTTGACATGACTGGCCCAGTTTTCCCTGTCGTTGCCCTCTCATCACCCATTGATTCCTTAAACCAAAGGTTCATGGAATAAGCAAACCTTCCCATGGGGTGGCCCTGGCAGGGTCAAGACGGGGTTGAGGAAACAACAGTTTCCTTGGGGCATCCCTGTGACTCTATGGTCCCCGTTGTCCTAGACCAGATTCCAGCCAGAGGTCTCAGTAGAAGACTACTAAGGAAAGGGCATTCAGGTCTCCTGGGCTTGCTCTGACATAGCTGCTGGCCCCACCCCAGAGTTTCTCACTCAGAAGATCTGAGTGTGGCTTGTGGCTTAGGAAGCTGAGTTTGAGAGAGGCGGATGCTGCTGGTCCCTGGCCCACACTTTGAGAAGCACTGTCTAAGCCAAAGGCATTCAAAGACCGTGAGGAAAGGCTGCTGCACGCTATGGGGGCAGAGGGCATGTTCCCAAGGCTGGGAGGACGCACAGAACTCAGGGAAAAACTGCGGACCACCCCATTCAACATGTTCTTGCTGTCCCAGGGCTCTCGAGACACACACTAGGAGAAGCTCAAAGTGGCTCTCCCTCCCTCCTGAGCATTCTAGAACTCGCTGATGTTCTCTCCAGGCTGCAGGAGCTTCCCTTGGAAAATGGAAGCGTTGCTTCAGGTTGGCTCATTCCTCACCCATCAGGGAGGAATGGACGCTCTTCTTTAAACACAAAATCCATTCTCTCCTCAGCAGACAGGCACAGGTAGGACAAACGGCCATGACAGCCCTTTATATCAATGAGGCTTAGTCTGACTTTAGAGATCATAAGAGCAAAGTATCTGTGTCTCTAAAAGTCACTGTTGGGCTAGCTGTTGTGTAGTGGTTAAGGCAGCTGGATCCCACATAGCTGAATGCAGTTTGAGTCCCAGACCTGGCAGTTTAAAAGACATACCAGGTATATGTGCATGCACACCCAAAATCCTGAAAGGAGAGAGAAATGGAGACAGGACCATCCTCCATGGGGAATGCTTTCTCACTTTCCCTCTCTCTCTTTCTTTCTCTCTAACTCTCTCTGGTAAGTGCACGTGCCCTCTGGCAAATATTGAAAATAAACAGACAGACAGACAGACAAATAAAAGCCACTATTCCGCAGTGCAGGCCTGGACTCTTCTACCTTCCCAAAGAGAGCCCAGCATGGCTCGTGGTGGGAAGTGTCTGGAGACCTCTTACTGGGTATTAGGGGACAAAGCTGAAAATGTCAGGTCATACAGGATTGCCAGGGCCCTAAACAATGGGACATCCCCAATGCTGTCCTGAGAGGTGGCTCTGACATTGCCTGGACCTCAGGGCCAAAATAGGTCTTCACCTGCAGCCTCGTTCTGCAGCTCCACCAGGGCTTCTAGTCTGAGTTCCCTCACACTGAGCAAAACCAGGCCTCCTGGAGCTGCCGCCCCCTGGCTATTTGTTTGCTGCAGAGTCATCTTCATCCAAATGGAGGCTGCCTGTCCCTTTGTGTACCTGTGTGTGCATGTGTGTGCTTGTGTGTGTGTATCCTGTAAGTCTTCCCACTTCTCTTCAGCCCATAAGAACCCCTGCTCTCTGGGGACTGAACCCTTTCAGCTCCCGGCCCAAGTCCTCAAGGTCCACAAAGTTCCATGGCTCCATGGGCAGAGCCATGAGCCCACTCAACCACAGAGCATGCTCAGAGATGCTGCCCACGCTTCCACTCCACTGTCTTGGTGTTTCCTTCTCCAGCTTCAGAAAGGCATTTGCAATGTTCCAGCCCACACAGAGAAATGTAGAATTATCCCCCCCAAAAAAAATCAAAGGTCTTAGACTCCTTCCATTATTGGCCCTGGTCCCCTTGACATTCACTGTCAGAGACAATTAAGTGTTCATCAACTGACATTTTAAAAAAGAAAAAAGGAAGGAAGGAAGGAAGGAAGGAAGGAAGGAAGGAAGGAAGGAAGGAAGGAAGGAAGGAAATTATTAGGCTGGCCCTATAGCCTAGTAGTTAAGTCAGCTCAATACCACATGGCTGAATGTGGTTCAAATCCTGGTCCTGGTGACTTGAAAACCACGTTGGGTGCATGTGTACCCAGAATCCCAGTAAGATTGAGAAATGGGGAAGGGACTGAAGCATGACCACACCCTATGAGGAGAGCTGTCTCTCTCTCTTTCTCTCCCTCTCTCTGGTGAGTACATGTATCCTTTGGCAATTAAAAAAAAAGAGAGAGAGAGAGAGAGAGAAATAACATCTCTCAACAAGTAAATGATTAGATTATAATTTCACGCCGTATCATCAACTCTAAAATCCCCGCTCTCTGTACTGCAATACAGTATGTCCTCATCTGTAATCTGTGTATCTCTCAGAGGTTTTGGTTGTCACTGTGATGGCTACTGGAAAATGCAGCCTTGGTCTCAGTTTACACACAATGCAGCTGGTGACTGGCCGCATCCGTGTGTCTGGGCAATAACAGTATAATAACAGTATCAGTGTCAGTGCCGCTTCTCCTAGCACGCCTCCATGCCTGCCCACCCACCCAGTCTCTCATAAGGAATCCACGCGCCCAACAGCTGCAGCACCGTCCTCACCTGGAAAGGGCTCCTTGAGGAAGTGGCCGTTGATGGTCTGGTTGGCTGTGCCCAGTGGGTTTTTGGCAATGAGGGTGTAGTTGCCGTTGTTGTAGTGGGTGGGCTTGTTGAAGAGCAGGCAGCCCTCAGAGACCTCGCCCTCCTGGTAGTATTCCACATGGATGATCTTGGACTCTCGCAGGGGCTGCCCGTTGTGCAGCCAGTGCAGTGTGGGCGGTGGGTTGCCGCGCACCACGAACTCGATGCAGTGCTCCAGCCGCAGCTCAGGCTCCTCCAGGCTCACCACGCGTGGGGGGTCTGCCAGAGGAGAAGACAGCTGAAGCCCGGGACGGAGAGTGTTCTGTGTCCTGGAGCTGACATCTAGCAGCTGGCATGGGCATCCCAATTCTTTCCCACCCGTCTCTGAAAGGCTGAAGGGGGCAGAGGTCCTACCACCAACCAACAAGGGGAAGAGCCATCTGTCCCCATCCAAGCTCCCTGGATTCACCTTAGCTGAAGGGTTCTCTCTCTCAGGACCTTTTAGGGATTTTTTTTTTTTTTTAAAGCTGGGGGAAGGGGACATGGAACCAGCAGATGGCATGTTAGTTACGTCGCTGGACTCCCACATGGCCAACCATGGTTTGAGTCCCAGACCCGGTGGCTTGAAACTCACACTGGAAGCATGTGCATGCATGCTCAAAATTCCAAGAGGAGAATGGAGGAGAAGGGACTGTGGCATGGCAATCTTCCCTGGGAGGGTAATTTCCTGCTTTCTGTGTCTCTGTCTCTCTGGCAAGTGCACATGCCCCAAAGCAAAAATCTCTCTAAAAATAAAAAGAGGGTGGCACGTGATGGCTAGTGGTAAAACGTGACACTCTGTGAGACTGAGCCACATGGGAAGGTTCCAAGTTGCATCTGGATATCTCCCAGTATACCCTGGGCATGTATATGCCCTTGACCCAGGGCTGGCCAAAGCTGCGGATCAATCTTAATATCACAACTTTGTTGGGGGTAAGAGTTCTCTCTTTCTCTGTCTCTCTCTCATGGAAGAACTAAATTAAATTTTTTTCAGGAAGAATGGGACAACTTAAGACTTCCTGAAGACATAGCTGAGTAGAAGGTACACCACTTGTAAGGGGCAGGGATGCCCTTTCTGCGGTGACTCTCCAAGGACACACTGCCCTACAAGAGTTCTGCTCCTGCTGGAGGGCCAGGTCCATGGCTCAGCCCGAGGAAGGCCTCTGCCCCTCACCCACCTCCTACACCGGCACCCCCTCCACTACAGTGTGCCCCATGATGGCTGCACTCACAGTAGACGGTGAGGGCAACACTGGCGTTGCTCATGCCCACCACATTCTCTGCAATGCATGTCAGGGTGAAGCCATTGTCCTCACTTGTCACATTCACTAGCGTCAAGTTGATGGCATGTACGTTGGTCCAGTTCAGATTTGTCTGAAAACCACAATAAAAAGACAACTCCTACGAATAGTTCCTACAAAGGCAGCTCCCCTGCCTGACCCCAAACACCTTCAGAAATCAAAAGGGAAGTTAAATAGAAGGTGAAGGAGGACTATCTACCGAAAGCACACCAAACTAAGTGCCAGGATCTTTGAAGTCAATAGTTTAAGTAAACCTCGTGTGTGTGACCCCTATCAGGTGAATGGTAGTATGACACCCACTTTACAGATGAGAAAAAAGGTATCAAGAAGTTGGGTAGCAATGCATATGGTCAAAACAGCTAGAGAATATTGCAAATGAACAGAATCCCAGCCTACATGCTCTTCCTGTAGTGGCAAGACCACAAATATTCCCCTTCTTTAAGACTAAGAGGCAACTGGGACCAGCAGTTAATGTAATGGCTACGTCGCTGGACTCCCACGTAGTTGACCACGGTTCAAGTCCCGGACCCGGTGGCTTAAACTCACGCCAGGTACATGTGCGTGCGTTCCCAAAATCCCGAGAGGAGAATGGAGGAGAAGGGATTACGGTGTGGCCATCCCCTCTGGGGGGGTGATTTCTCGCTTTCTCTCTGTCTCTCTGTCTGGCAAGCGCACACACCCTGTAGCAAAAACCTCTCCAAAAAAAAAAAGAAACAAACAAACAAAAAAGCAAAAAATAAATAAATAAAGACTAAGAGGTGACTGGAGCCAGCAGGTGGCTGGACTCCCACGTGGTTGACCACAGTTCAAGCCCCAAACCTATTTGCTTGTTTTCTCAATTTCTCTCTTTCTCTGTCTCTCTCTGGTGAGCATGCATGACTTATAGCCAATTAAAATAATAATAATAAATATGGGGCAGGCAAGTGGCATGGTGGTTAAGGCACTGGACTCCCACATGGTCAACCATGGTTCAAGTCCTGGGCATGGACTTGGCTTCCTCTGTCTCTCTCCGGTCAAACCAAAGAAAAATTAAAAATAAATAAATAAACAATTCTTTAAATAAATAAATAAATACTTTTAAATTATTCTTTAAAAAAAAAGACTGAGAGATGATCACTGCCCAGCCTTCTGATGGGGCCCACTTCAGCCTACCTGGTGGGTGTTGATGGACTGCAGCCCAGTGACTATCCAGTCTACATCAGGCAGGGGAGATCCAGAGCCATTGCAAGTGATGACAGCGTTGTCACCCTCTCGTACAGTCAGGTTGACGTGGCTCACGCTGATCTCGGGAAGGTCTGGGAGTGGGGAGTGGGGTAGGGGGACAGAGTGAGAAAAGACTGGCAGACACTTACTACCCAAAGGAAGCTCTGCCCACAGGGCTGACGGTGGTTACTTCTTGTCTTGCCCAATAATGACGCCAACACAACCTTCTTGAGCTCTTAGAAGACCCTCAAGTTCCAGATGCTTCCGATCACCTCCCCAGGAAGCATCAGGACTCAGAACTGACGCTTACACAGTAAGACTCTGCCACATGGCACCACAGGGGTGGGGATGCTGACAAGGAATACGTTTCTATCAGTTAAGCCCAATGACATCATTCCACTTAGGGCACTGGGTCTCAAAAAACTAACGTGTTTCAGACTTTCATGGGGAGCTTCCTAGAAATCCAGATTTCTGGGACCTATCCCCAGACAATCTGATGTTTAAAGTCATAGTTGGGCCCAGGAATCTGTTTTTCTAAAATCACCCTTGAAGCTCCTGATAACAAGCAGCCCAGAGACCACACTCCTTCAAATTCTGTTGGCGGATGGTGCACAGAGAGAAAGATGAGCCTGGCTGATGAGAAGGGGCGTGTTTAGCTACTATCTGCATTCCTGAAACCAACCTTCCCACAGCTGGCTCACAAAGGGGCAGGAATTTTTTTAATGCCCGAGGAGGGAAGAGGTGAGTGAGGTCTGCAACCAACGCAGAGTCCAAGGCTGGGAGGGTGGTTCTAGGCCACTGTCCGGCACCATCTCTGGTGTCTGAAGGATGCCTCCCTGGAGCCAGGAGGGGCCAGGCCGCTCACTCACCACACTGACTGATGTTCATGCGGAAGAGGGGGAGCTGGGAGCCGTCGGCGTTGATGCAGTAGAGGTTCTGGCTATTCAGCCTGGCCTCCCCCTGCTCCTGCCACAGCTGCATCCAGCGGATGTCACAGCTGCAGTTGAAGAAGTTCTGTTCCAACCTCCTGTGAGCAAGGAGAGAGGGGAAGGGAACCCCTGAACCGAAGATGGCCCAGCTCCCTCCCAGGGCTTGAAGCCAAAGAGGCCCCACCAGCTCTTCAGGGACTGAGGAGAGAAGGGGTTTAGCAAGGTTGCAAAAGAAGAAGAAGAAAAAAAAAATATATATATATATACACACACACACACACACACACACACACACACACACACTTACAGGTTCCAGAATTGGTTTCATTTTAAGACTAATAAACTCACTTTTAAGAAGAAATCCACACTACTTAACTCGCCTGGCAAAGAGGACCTTCCAAATACATCAAGTTATGCTGTTCCTCTCCTCAGTACCCTCCAATGGCTTCCCATCTCATGGGAAGTCAGAGTCAAAGCCCTGCGTAATCCCCACCATCCTCTCTATCTGACCTCATCTCTCACTTGCCATTTGGGATGGTTCATTTTAGATTAAATGGATTGGATTAAGGAAAATCTAGAGAAAGCATTACTTTGGGATGTGCCCCTGTGGCTGTTCCCAGAGATTAGCATTGAATCTGAATGGACTGAAGAGTGAAGACTCACCCCCAATGTGGACAATGCCATTTTTTCAGCTGGAGACCAGAGAGAACAAAGACAGAGAAAGGAGACTGTGGGCAGATCTCTATCCCAGAGCTGGGATATACACTCTCCTTCCTCTGTTCTTACTTATTCTATCAATATATTCTATCGGTTCTGTCTTTCTGGAGTGCCCTAATACACATGCCAGTCTCTTCAGTCACATTGACCTTACTGTGGACGAATGCCTCATTCCTACCACAGATCCTTCATGACCACTGTCCCTCTGGCCACTAAACTCTTATCCAACACAACTGCAAGACTCGCTCCCTCACTCCAGTAGGAAATCATACAGCCTTCTTTGATCACCCTCTACAAAAAAGCCTGCCCAACCCCTACCTAATCCCTTGCTCTTATATTCCTGTCTAGAATTCTTCCTTTTAGAATTTATCAGCATCATTTAAATATTGACTTGAGTTAGTTTATCCTTTTCCCCAAGCAAAAATGAAACTCCACTGAGGTCAGAGCCATTGCCTATTTATCCATTCCTGTATCCCCAGTACCTACGCTGATCTCGGTACATAAATGGTTGTTGAATGCAAGAGAGAGAGAAAGATTGAGAGAGAGTTATTTTCTCCGAAGGAATAGGTGGTTAGCTATCTCCAAGATACATTCAAAGTCTATCTTGGGACTAGTTTTATTCCTGCATGAATTCACCAAACTCTTCCTAAGTACCTGTCCCATATCTGGCCATGAGCTGAGTTCTGCTGACACAAGGATGAGGACAGTCCTGCTCTTCAAGAGCACTCAGTCTGCTGAAGAAAAAGGTCTGATGGGGAAAGGGTCAGGGTCAGGGTCAAGGTCAAGGCCCTCCTTTCCCACTGTTTCTCTTTGTGATCTAGAGCAAGACATTGCTTCTCTTGATGGTTATTATGAGAGGGACAATGGGCACCATCGATTAACCCAAAACTCTTCAAGTGAAGAGAATCCTATAAATCTGAATGTTTGGATCAGTGAGAGGAATACGATTCCCTTTCTGAACTACTGCGAGGATGAATCTGTTGGAACCCAGAGGGAGGGGGCACGTGGGTCACTGCACTAAGACCCAGGATATTTCTGACAACAGGCAAATTCCAAAATAGTTAAGTATGCATTAGGATTAATCAGCTCACAGGAAAAAGTGAGGCCCCTGGGAAGAAGAATCAATATTTTCTAGCCACTAAGACACCGCAGGTAGAATGTGCAAATACCCCTACATGGTATCATCCTCTTAGCTTAAAATTATCCATGATTTCTTTCTGCAATGGCACTCTTTCAGAGAAAGTACAGGGAAGGGAACAACCTTGATTGATCACCTTCTTACAACAGCTCCAGGAGATAGCCATATTGTCCCCATAAAGAGAGGGGAGTGGCGGGACCAGCAGTTAGCATAATAGCTATGTTGCTGGACTCCCACGTAGTCAACCGCGGTTCGCATCCCGGACGTGGTGGCTTAAAACTCACGACGGGCGTGTTTGTGTGTATGCCCAAGATCCCAAGAGGAGAATAGAGGAGAAGGGATTACAACATGGTCATCCCCCCTGGGGGTGGGTGATCTCTCATTTTCTGTCTCTCTCTGTCTGTCTGGCGCACGCACACACCCTATAGCAAAAATCTCTTCAAAAAAAAAGAGGGGGGAGTGTCTGCCAGAGTTAAGTCACATTCTCAAGGGCCCTCAGCTGGTGAGTGACAAAACAGTTTCAAACCTCAGTTTTCTGGATTCTAAAACCCTGGGCCTTGACCTCACTGGTCATGAGCAAGGCCACAGCAAATGCAAAGAGGAGAAGGACAGGACTCCTGCCTTCAGAAGTTCATGGAGGCAGAGACCAGGAGAAGAGTTAGAAGGAAACAGCAAAGGCTAAACCCAGCCGGGGCTGAGAGTGTGTCTCTCCCAGGGATCCCTGGGAATTAAAGCTGGGGGCAGGAGTGGAAGCCAAGTCAGGAAGTTTGTAATTGATGCAGTGGGAAACCATCAAGGCTCTTGGAGCTGGAGAATGGTATGAACAAAGTAGCTCTGGAAGAAGAGCAACCCAACCACACTGCACAGGATACACTGGACAACAGGAGGGCTGGAGGTTGGGATACCACATAGGATGGCCTTACAAATACAGGGTCACCATTTACAGTTGCATTTATGCATTTCTCAAGTTACCCAGCTAAAGGGATGAATGCATGAAAGCTGGTCTGCACACCCTTGGCTAGACCTAGTGCCCAGCGGGTGGATATATTCACACAGAGGGGACATCTTTTCTAATTCGCATAAAGGCACCATAGAGGCTGCCGGAGTCTAGGGCCATGTCCTCAAACTCTTGGCTCAGAACTCTTACAAAATTCCTGAGGGCCTCAAAGAGCTTGTGTTTATGTGGGTTACATCCATCATGATTTATCCTATTACAAATGAAAACTGGTAAAAATTTAGAACACTAAGAGCATAAACTCCATTGGTCATCAGGAAAATGGTATGTCTCGTGTCACGTGGTCTGTGGAAAATTCCACGGTACACTCATGAAAGGATGAGAATGTAAGAGGCAAATGATGTCATGGAATTATCACGAAAATAGATTTCTCCTCATGGTCGCCCTGAAAGGGTCTTGAGGACCTCCAAGGGAGCCTGGAATACCGCGTGAGAGTTACTGCCTAATTAGGAAGGGCGCAGAATAGTACAAATTGGGTGGAGAGAGAAGATGATGATCAAGCAGCCATCATAAAGGAGGACAAGAGGTAGAATTCAGTGTTTTGTTGGAAGCAGAACCAAAGAGTGGAAGTGGAAAAGGGAGAAAAAGAAAGAGAAAAGACTGGAAAATAGGAGTTTAAGCTCTAGGTGACAGGGAGTCAGTGGAGGAGAGAGATGTGGTAGAAAGCAGAAGAGAAGGAATCGGTGGAAAAGAAGAGATGGAAAATACTGAGAATGAGGGCAGGGGTAGCATGGGCAGAGAGGGGTCAAGGTCCTAGAGGAGGAAAGGGAAGGGAAGCATGAGGTCAGGAAATCTTGAAGGTATTTGCCCAAGTTTAAAGGAAGAGGCCAACGTGGCCGAGAAATGAGATTGAGAAAAGATACAGGGTTGAAAGAGAAAAATCACAAAAATAAGAGGATAACAATATCTCCATCTCTCGCCATGAAGCCAACGCTACACTAAATGCCTTAAGCGCATTACTTCACTTAACCCTCACAAGTGGGAGGGGACATGGCTTCTTCAGGAAAGGAGGACGTCAAATTAGCTGCCCACTGGGCACGGGAGAGGGAGGGCAGGAGAGGAGGAGGGGCAGTCTGGATTCACACTGAACGGGTTGCAGAGCAAGTTCTGGCAGCTCTGTTGGAATGACACTGAGCGTCCAGATGCTTGAATATGTGCAAACTGAACCAGGTCAGGCTAGCTTTTCCCAGCTGCTCACTTGACAAGATGCGGTCATTCATTATTAAGTACGTGTAAAAATACAAATTAGCCACCTGGGCGAAAAAGGCTAGACAAGCAAGAGAATTGGCTAGGTCGCCTGGAGCCGCACAGCTCTCCACTGCCTTCTGCCTGAGTCCTGCACTCTCAAAGATTCCAAGGTCCCCGCGCCCACTGTCCCATACATCCCCACAAGGTGGGCGGTGCCACGGTGTCCTGAGACTGGAGGGAAAAGCAAGTGAGAGGTTTGGGATGGTCCTTAGGAAGCTGCCAGGCATGAAATCAGGAATAGCTTTCTTGTTTTCTTTCATCATTTCCGTCCAGAGCCCTGTGTACAGGACTCCGCCAAGCAGAAGGGATGCGCTTTGAGACCCAGTCCTTTCCTCCAATCAGAGGCTCCTGGACACTGCAAAAGAGCCTTGGCGATTCCCCCCATCCCTCTGGACTTTGCTCCTAGACAGCAAGACACACACGCATAGAAGATAGCATTCTGAGTCTTAAAACAATGGCACCCTGGGCATTTCGCCAAGCATCTCCACAGTCCTCTTCATATCTTGGCAAGGGGGTTCAAACAACGAGGTGGGCAAGAAGCACAGATGGCCAAGCCCTGGGGTCTAAATGATGCTGCCCATTTTGTGCCCCTTCTCCCATCCAACCAAGTCTTGAGCAGAGGAGTCTTTGGCCAGGGCTTGCAGATCCAAAAGCATGGCTCTCCATGACCCATTACGGCAGCCCCATGAAGAACCCGCCCCCAGCCGCTTCAGGGCACAGTTTACCCATGCCCAGCCCTTGCCCCAAGATGGCCTGAGGCCTCATCGCGGGGCCCTGAGGGCTTCCACAGATTAACACAATCCCATCCAGGCATGTGCACACATGGCACTGTGAGGCACAGCCAAGGCTACAACTAGGTGTTTAGGAAACATCGATTCCCCTCTAGTCATCATTCTGGTGGTTTTCGTCTCTCCTCCCAACATGGGCACTGCCAGGGGCAATCCAGAGGCCACACAGTGGAAAATAGGGAGGGACCCACA